CCCCCCCCCCCCCCCCCCTGCTTTTCAGCTGCCGAGTCTCATCTCTCCAGATCCCTGCATATCTACAGATAATAACTGTATTTATATTATTCATGCTTTAAACCGGAGAACTACATGATCTAAATTATGCTTTTAACATTTCCATGTTAACAGCAGTGAAAAGGACAAAATTAAACAGACAAAAACACAAACTGACTGAGCTAAATGTCAAATATACAATAAAACTGGTCTCAAAAACTTCACTTTTAGTTCTCAAATATTAACCCCTTCAGCACCAGATCAACAGCTGTGCCTCTCAAAAGTCTCAAAATAGCATCAAATATGGACGTGTGGCACATTTTCTGTTTCCAGTGTCACAGAAATAATTCAGATCCTTTACTTGAGTAAAAGCTGTGATACTGAAATATAAAAATGCTGCATCAAAAATGTAGTTCCAGTAAAAATACACAATACAAGTGTCATAAAAAGCTCTCAAAATAAAGTAAATGGAGATGGAGGTCATTTAAATTACTTTATATACTGCTGAGTGGTGTTTTGTTATATGGAAAATCTGTAAAACTACAATATTTCCCTCTGGAAGTATAAAGCAGAAATAGAAATACTCAGATTTCTGCTTCGGTACAGCACTGGACAATCCACCACTGTCTGTTTCAGAATAAATGAATAAATATCTACTTGTATTCAAGATTTATGAAGCATTACGTACATGCAGAGTTTAGTTTAGTTTATTCCGTTCTGAAGGTGTTAAATATGGTCAGTCTTTACACAGCAGTAAACCAGCTGATCAGTGATGTCTGGGAGGGGTTTTGGCGAAGCTAACAGCAACTACAGTGCCCTGAGCTGTCTCATACCTGATGAAAAACACACTTTTATTCAGGTTTTCCTCCAGTGAAACCACCACTAAACCTCCGGTGAACACCTACCACTTTATAAAAGGAATCCTAAACTATTCAGACTCAGAAAAGTGCTTTTAAAGCCAAACTCTAGGGACAGAATGACATGCAACAAGTGTCCCTGGAGAAGATCTGAAACACACTGTGGTGACACACAGAGAGACACGATCCTGAAACCGACAGGGTGACCCTCCACCTGCTGCCACTGACACCTTCAACCGATCGACTGTAAGACAACAAACGGCCCACAGCCCTGTGATCTGTGGCGGGGCGGACAATAGGCAGATGACACAGCTGCATATTTGAGATGCCAGGTGGAGGAATCTGATCCGCTGGGATCTGAATCGGTGCAGCCTCCATCACCTGGTACAGAGCTGGTCGGTTCTCAGAGGTTTCTCCTGCACACAGCTCCATGTCAAACAGTTGCACATGTTCGACCGCAGAGACCCATCTGGTACAGGTTTGGTACCACATCTGATTCCCATCTCTCCGAGGAAAAGAGATAACAGCCAAGAGAGGGGAAACCCTTCAAATCTGAGGTGATTCTTCTCAGGGACAGAGCGGATGTGGATAAAGTCGTGTGTGATATTTGCAGAGGTCTATATTAAAGTTAGAAACTGCAGAGGAGGAGAAACCTGTGTTTTGAATCAGCTCTAGCAAATATTTTCTCCCTTTGTTCATTCAATTATAAAGAAATTTAACTACTGTCGTTATGGAAACGCTCCAACTGACCCCTGGAGGAACGGAAACCAAATAAATAACCATAATCAAATCTATTTAATCCAATGCCCCCCACCCCCCTCACCTCCCCCCTCCCCTCTCAGCGCCGGGTCAGGCCAGTAAAAGCAGGTCAGCCGCACGAGTCGCTGCTGTTTACCCAGCGATAAGACGCATGTAGGCCGGGCGGCTGGTGGCGCAGCCCGGCCTTTACGCACCACCACCGCCACCACATTAACCTTTCATTCACTCCGGTTCTTTTATTCTCACTTCTCAGCGGCGCTGCAGGGCAAACAAACGATATCCTATGATGCAATGCGGCTGTCAGAAGGGGAGCGGGCCGGTCGGAGAGCGCGCTCACACCGGGAAGAGAGAGGCAGGAGAGGCGGCTGGGCGGTGGGGGTGGGGGGGCAGAGAGGCTGTTAAATTAGAGCTGGTTGAGAAAAGTGATTTACACTTCACAGCCTAAAAAAAAGTGGGTTAATTATAACGTCTAGAGACAGAAACAACAATCTGCGGGAAGATCTCTTATAATTTACCTGAAGCTTTTCATCCTAAAGATCCAAATCCTTCTTTAGCTTCACTTCTGTACGTTTGATATAAATTACTTTGATTGAGAAAACTGCAGCAGCGAATAACAAGTTCTGCTGCAAACAACAAGCGTGCCAGGGTGGATTTCAGTGGCTTTTCTCTCCGCTGTAACTCCGTTTCTACTGGAGTCTCTGCAGGGTGGCACAGAGAGGATAACCCGGGTTAAACTGCAAAACGAGTTTGGATAATTTAATTCTCCTGCCCTAAAATACCGTATGAACTCTCACAGGCAAGATGAACGAAGCTTTCAGCGAGAAAAACCCACCGAAAACTCACTTTGCGCAACTTCATAAAGAGATAAAAACACAAACTAATAAAAACTGTGTTGATGCAACGTGCGGGAAGGAAACTGTAAAAGAAAAAGGCATGAGTGCTTTTATCCGCACACTGTTGAGTCTGTGTCCTGGTGATCGTGCATTTCACTGGAGGCTGAATCGCAGGGTTCATGAACCCTGTAGCTGACCAGCACATTACTGGAGCTCAGACACTCAAGTGACTTTGATTTGGGTGCGCGGAGACTGAATGACCGTGGAGGGGTTTGGGTAGATTTTTACGCACGGTGGCTGCTGTGATGTGTTATTACGGAGCCACACGATCCCTTTAATCTCACCTGTGATCAGCGGAGAGGAGGACCGGGGCGTTTGGAGCAGCAGCAGAAAGCAGAAGAAAAACCTACAGGTGGACCAGGAGGGAGGGTTCCAGCAGCGGAGCAACATCCTCGAGTTTGCTCCAGGAAAAAAAAACGATTCAAAGTTTTTTTGCGGAATAAATAAAGAAAAATAAAAATAAAAAAATCAATCCAGAGATGAAGTGAAACAGATCCACGTCCCGCGTCTCTCCCGCAGACTCTCTTCTTTATTCCAGCCGGGACAGTTTGTCAGTTTGCGCTGAAATGCAAAGTGACACTGAAGCAGACGCTTTCAGCGACATTAAAATGACAAAGACGCGCCGGCAGGCAGCACAGAGCGGGGGTGCGCATGTCGTGCGCGGACAACAGGAGTCCGTAAACTAATGGAAAACATGCATGAGGAAAAAAACAGTCCCAAATCCCGCAGATGTGAGAATCCCAAAGGGGAAACAGCCCGGCAAGTCCAGACCGAGGAGTCCGAGCTGATCTGAGCTCAGATAAACTCGCACGTGCTGATTTATACGAGCTGGAGAAGAGAGCGGATCTGATCAGTGAGTGAACCCGCTCCAGGACTAGACTCCTCTCAGTCTGCGCTCCGAATCCACAAGTCCGTTTGGCACATGGATGCTCGATGCGACTGTCCGGGACGGAGGAGTGGACTGCGCTCTCTCTCTCTCTCTCTCTCTCTCTCTCTCTCTCTCTCTCTCTCTCTCTCTCTCTCTCGCAGCAGTGTAAAGAGTCGACCTGCCTCTCCTCCTCCTCCTCCTCCTCCTCCTCCTCTGGTATTAAAGCGGACCTCTGGTGTTGGAGCGCACCACAGAGCCAGAAAGTCCTGCCTCCTCTGTGAAACCCGGGACCTCCTCCTGCCTCCAGACCTTTGCGAAACCTCCTCCACAGACCCTCTCTGGTCCTCTCCTGCAGACATCTCTCAGTCCTCCTCCTCCTCTAGACCCCAAACCCTGCAGAACTCCTTTTCTTATTGTAAGATTTTAATAATCAGTCTCTCTGCTACTGAACCTCTGTGTACTGTAAAGCTGTGTGTGTGTGTGTGTGTGTGTGAGAGAGAGAGAGAGAGAGAGAGAGAGAGAGAGAGAGAGAGAGAAAGAGAGACCAACCTCCTGCTTTGGGATCTAGTTTCATTACCAACAAGCCAGGGGAGCTACATGTGCTTCATGTCACCAGTAAATTTTAGTGTTTTAGAGGAAGAAGAAGAAGAAGAGGAATGAGGAAGAGGAAGCAGGAGGACTGAGGTCAAGTGCAACATTTGTGTCAAAGAAGAAACAAGAAGTTAACTTTCTTCTAAAATGATCCCAGATTCACACCTGAAGTTTTTCACTGCAAGAATTCATTAATTGAAAAGAAAATTGAAAAGAATTAATTGTTTCATTACAACTTTTCTCCTGTCTTTTTTAAAGCAGACTCTGTTTACACTACATGGCCAGAGGTTTGTGGACACCAGTCTTTCAGTCTGTGGCTGTTGTTCATGATGATATTTTAGACGTCAGTTTTTCTGACTTTAAATCAACAGTTTGTGTTTGTTCCTTTCCTGTGTGAACGTGACCGTGTCAAAGCCAGCTAAAGAAAAAGAAAGGCTTTCTGACCTCAGTCCCGTCCGGCGCCGTTGGGTTGAACTGGATCACCTGACATCAGTGTTGGACCTCGCTGATGCTCCTGTGGCTGAGTTGCTGCAGCAGGTTAGAAAGTCTGATGGGAAACCTGAAACCAGAAGAGAGTGGACACTGTTAAAGGAGGTTTGGGTGTCCACATACTTTTGGCCACATATTGATTCTTGATTTAAATATTCATGCCTTGTTTTCAGTCATCCTCAATGAGTCCTTGTTGTTGTCAAAGTGAAGTTTGTGGCTCTTGAGAGGGTCAAAGGTCAGTGGTATCAGAGCCGGGGTCTGGGGGACCCTTGGGGGACACTGATGTGGCCCTGACAGGCTCCGCAGTGAGCTGAGGAAGAGTCTGTTGTCATTGTTTCTTCATCTCTAATGACAGTGTGTATCTCACATCTAAATTAAAACCTCTTGTCGTGTGATTCTCCCGACGCGGAACGACGCTGACGTCACTGTCGTGGTCGTAACGCGCGTCTGTTTGCGGCGAACAAACTCTTCTACATTTTAGCATTGTGTTGCAATAAATCTGCAGCCTGGAGTTGACATTAAATTCTTATGTGACAGATGAGGCGGGTTGCATGACAGTGTGTGTGTGTGTGTGTGTGTGTGTGTGTGTGCTGTGTGTGTGTGTGTGTGTGTGTGTGTCTGGCCTCTTTAAAGTGAAGTTCGTCAGAAGCTCAGACAGGGAGGAAAAGCGAGTCTTCAAAGAAATAATTAGGACCCACCCAGCAGCTTTTAACTGAGCTTCAGCCGCCGCTCGATCTTTGCTGCTGCATGCTGGAAACACACACCAGCCAGGGACGGCCCAGGTGTGTGTGTGTGTGTGTGTGTGTGTGTGTGTGTGAGAGAATAAGGAGGAAGAGAGTTAAAACAGAAAAGTATGAGAGAGTGCAGAGAGGAAGACAACAAGAGAGTGTTTAAGAAAAGTGTTAGAAAAGGAGTGTGTGTGTGTGTGTGTGTTTCAAAGGAACAGACAGCATCAAAGAGAGAGTGTGTGTGTTCAAAGAAGAGTGTGTGTTCAAAGAGGAAGTGTGTGTCAGAAAGAAAAAAAAAACAACATAAAGTGTGAGAGAGAAAACACTGATGATTTTTGAAATAAAATGTTTGAGTGTTGGAGGTGGAGTGTGTCAGAGTGTGAGAGGTTGAAGTTCAGTAATATTAGCCACTAGATGGCAACAGAGAGAGGAGGGGGGAGGGTAAGGGGTTATCTGGTCTGACTGTACACACACACACACACACACACACACACACACACACACACACACACACACACACACACACACACAGTCCAGCCCTGACACACTCGTCTGCTCACACTGATCTGTCCACTTGACTAAAAAAAGCTTTGCTGACTTTGTTTGTACCATTAAAATAAATGTTAAATCAAACACTTGTATAGATGCTGGATGATTATCAAATGCAAAAACATCATTAAACACTTCAGTCAGTGAATTTTATCAAGAGGGAAGGAAAAAAAAAATCACCTGATGAAGATTAAAGTCTGAGTTCATCTTTAACACTCACAGTGGAAACAGACATCGTTGCATCTAGGAAGGAAACGTAAAGAGGAAATGTTGCTTGATGTACTAAATAAATATCCTGAATTACAGACAAGATACTGAGCTCCTCTCTGACACCTGTGTGAGGAAAACTGGACGTAAGTCTGTCAGTTGTTGTTTAAAGAGTGAGTGAAGCAGACGATCATCGGGATGGACGTGTGGATGTACAGCGACAAACACGATGAAGACAGTGAATCATATCTGGAAAAACAGTTAGGAAATTAAGAAAAGGCGTTCTTTCACTGTGGTTAAAAAAAAAGAAAAAGAAGGATCATCTCAGGTTTTGAAAAAGCCTGCAGGAATGAGAAAGAGAGCAGCTAAGATGCAACTAAATCCCAGATGATTGTGTTGACATCAAAAATGACTGTGATGAAGGAGGAGGAGGAGGAGGAATTTAAAGATTCAGTTGAGCAATGTTCAGTAGAAAAAGACAAATGATACAAATGTAAACACCAGGATTTGAGTGATTTTGTAATTTTCTCATGAACACAAAAGAAAGAGTGAAGAGTGAAAAACAAAAGGAGCAAAGGAGGAGCTACAGTCCACCTGGCTGAGAAGTGGCTTAAAGATGCATTGAAGCGTCACTCAAACTGTCACAGTTGATATTTTTGTCTAACAAGGATCATTTCTAAGAACGACTCATGTCCTCATACGTCACATTTTCTCCACACGTGAACCTCAAAAAGCAAATATCAGGAGAGAAAACAGCTGATTGAGAGGAGGCTGTTGACGGAGGAAATGTTGAAACTCCTGGAGGTGAGTTTTCTCCTCTGTGTGATGGAGGCAGCTGCTGCTGCGGCACCAACCTGGACTGGATGAGGTTCTCAGAGGTTCTCAGAGGTTCTTCCTGTCCTCAGGCTGGCAGCAGACGGTAGGCGTGGCCCCCGGTGGCCCCGGGGTTTAAAAGGCCCCTGACAAGCCGGCAGGTCTTTGGCTCTGAGAGGCTGGGGGGGGGGGGGTTTGGAGGAGGAGGAGGGAGGGAGGGAGGGAGGGAGAGGTTAGACCCAGCTGTCTGAGTCAAGCTACACCAACAGTAATGCTGTTTCCACTGAAAGAACATTTCCAGGAACTGAGGAACCTTTTTAAGAACTCAGGAACCTTCCTGTGTTCGAAGTGGAGGAACCTTTAAAAAAAGTCCCTGTACGTTTTCTGACTCATTTTTTATAACAAAATGCCTCTTTTCTCTTCCTGTTGACATTTAACTTGTGTCAGATATGAAATTATGCCTCGGCTGATGTTGTCACAGCTCAGCGGCATCATTCAGCTGGAGAGAGAGGAGGCGGTTTGACAGAGTGACCGTCAGATACAGTACAACAAAAACAACAACCTGATTTCACACGAGAAGCTACCTGAGTTACAGCTTCACAGATCTTTTGCTGCTTGCGGGACAAAGACATCCATCACTGTCCTGTGTGCCCCGTCTGAAATACATCACATTACAGAAGCTGCATGTTCTCTACCTGCTGTTATTGTCTAACACACTGACACCTCAAAGAAACGGTCGAAAAGCTACATAAGAGTTTTCAGTATCTATTAGATCTGTTTTCACTGATGAGCGTCTCTGTCGGTGTGATGACGCTTCACGTCCTGCAGCTCCTGGACAGACTGAAGTCCTGAATCAGTCGGGACCAGCAGCAGCAGCAGCAGCAGCAGTGGGTGGAACTACACAATAAAAACACAAACTGTGTCATGTAATTGTTTTACATTTTACATCCTTGTAAGCACATAAAGTGCAGATATTTCAGAGCTTTATGGAGCTTTTTAATGAACTATTTTCTGCACTTTTTCCACAACAGACGAAACTCCCTGGAAACACGAGTAAAGAGTGTAAATGAGTGAAGCTCAGGGTTTGACCGGTGAGTGGTTCAGGAGTGTTTTCAGGGGAGAAGTGTTGTGTTGTGTTCGAGAGC